GCCCTGAGTCCCCTCAGGGAAAAGGGCGGCCTATAAATAAACTACAAACAAACAATATGGATCTTAGTGGTATTAAGCCATGATAGAGAAAAGTTTACGCCTTCATATTACATTTCTGGATATGTAAACTAGTTGTTTATTTATGAAAGAGTTGCTGATTTTGAGAGAAACTCATATAACTCATAGTTGTCTAAAACCTTTGCTGTTTGGCCTCTCTTTTACTAGCTATAGATATTCACAGAGCTGATAATGTCTTGCATTTATGTTATTTGTATGATTAAAATTAAAATATAATGCTGGATTTGAGAAGGATTACTAATTTGTGCTGTGTAAAATTTTAAGCCTCATAAGCATGTATATAGGTATTTCTTGTAACAATATTAGGGTGTATACTTAAATGAAAAAAAATGTTATCTACTTTTCTGCAGTAGCCAGAAGCTGATAATAGTTACTTCTATAGCAGTGGCCTGCACCCTTTTGGGCACCAGGGACCGGTTCCATGGAGAAAGGTTTCTCCAGAGGGGATGTGGTTTCATGTGCTGCTTGCCTCCCGCAGATGGGGCTTCGCTTACTTGCATGGCCTAGTTGCTGATATGCTGCGGCCCGGGGTTGGAGACCCTTGTTCTATGGAAATTCAGCATGTATTATATAAAAGAAAAATCATGCTATTGTGAGAGTAAAATTGAAAGAGGTTTGAAAGCACACAGTGTAGGTTTAAGTATGTAACTAAACCATAGGACCTATGTAATGTTCCTGAAATCAAAGAGTTGTCATGAGTCTCATCTTGAACGATGTTCAGCCCAACTCGGTTGGAGAAGCCAGCTAGATTAGTTGAGCCAGGGAATATTAGGCTGTCCTTAGCAGGCTCTACATATATCCCTGTGCTGAACCAATTGATACTGGCATCAATCTGGAGAAATTTAACTGAGCACCAATTTAGGCCAAAGGACAGTATTTTCAAATCTTGGGTAAGGGGCAGAACTAAGAAAAAGTAAATGGTTCTGGAAGAGGCGAAATATTGGGACGTGTTTGTATCTTTATTACAGCATTTTCTTCACAGAGCTCTCCAGATTGCTTGCCTCTGACCTTCTGGCCTTTTTTTTTTTTTACTAAGAATCAGCACATTATAAATATCATCTGAAGTCTATGGAAACAAAGTGAATTTGGTTAATCTTGAAGAGGTTCTGTGGAAGAAATATGCTCAGCCATATATATTTTTAATGGTTAATCTTCTAACCATATGAAAAGATACTAAGAATGTTTTAAAAAATCTTATTGTACTACCTAATTAAATGCTTGTCAATGAGCCTAAGATTTCTGAAAACCGTGCTCCTGGTGTCTGTGGGCAATTTGGTGACAAACTGATCATTGTTGCTGTTTCAGTTTTGGGGAACCTGGATTCATGACCATTGATTCCTTCACAAAACATGTTCAAAAGTACATAGTTGAGGAATGTTGCTTCCAAAATGTCACAGTAAAGTATATGCAAATAGAGCCATTGCTGCAAACTCTATAAGCATCTGGTAATTGTGGCATAATCTCCTCTAAATCATTTCTAATCATAGTAAGCTTCAACATCTATCAATGGAATGGTTGCTAATTGTAACTACAGAACCAATGTCTGGGGACTTATTACAAAATTGAAAGCACCAGCAGCACTGCACTTCCACAGCTTCTAATGCAATTAGAAGCATGTCATCTGCTCACACCTGCCCTAGAAAGTTACATTATGAGAGTTATTCTTTACATATTTGTAGCAAATAGCAATATTCTATAAAATTGCAGCATAAAGATGTGATGTGAAAGTAATATCAAAACAGATAAATTGCCTTTTATGAAACAAGATGCATAACTATACCTCAGGTTAAAATGCAGGATACAAATGTTCAATTTTCTGCAGTATTTGTGAGTATTTTATTGTTGATGTCTTTATCAATCAGTACTAACTCATCTGTTTCTTGTTTGATATAAATGCTGGTATCAAATACCTGAAACCAAACAAATGAGAATATGCCTACTATATAAGTGTGCTTTGCAGATCTTGATGCACTAGCACAATCATCATTGTTAAACAAAGGATATTAGACTCTTATTTTCTTCTATTTAATATGAAATGAACTATGTTTTGGGTGATGTCGAAGATGACACATTTTCAAAACCAGACATTCATCTGAGAAGCACTGTAGAAAACTGAACTGACATGATAATGTACTCAGGCTGTATGTACAGAAGATTCCTTAAAGATATTTCTTTAATACAAGTTTTATGAATGAAATACTGTCAGTGAACTGTCATACATAAGTTTATGTACTTGCATTTGATCTCTGATCAGGAGGAGATGAAAGTTTCGCCAGTTGAAGATAACATTAAGCTTGCAAGAGAAATTGATTAGACTAACATAAAGACTGAGTATCAAGAAGGGAATATTGTCACATACAAGACAGTTAGTGGAAAACTGATTGTTCAAGCCATAGAGGATGAAAGGATGAAATGTCTAATGGTTGAGGCACTTGGAATGAATGCACATTGAACACGGTGAATGTTCTCTGGAATGGTACATAGGCTTGGAAGGTGAGATAAAATATTGAACTGAAAGTGCTTTTTCAAAAGGCAAATGGACTTTGTTTTTTTTTTTTGCTTGAAGAACTGAAGAAGATTCTTGGATGAAAAACGAAATGTCTTCAAGCAAAAAAGAAAAAAGAAAAAGTCTAGTTGCTTTTCGAAAAAGCACCTTTGGGACAACCATAGCTGAGAATCTCTATAAACATAAAATATTGAACTTTTTTTACAATTAGGAAGGATTCCTTGCATTTCTGTTTTCTGAAGATTTGAATTACACATTATGCTTCCAGTCTGTAAGTTTATTGCAAGTATGCAGAGCTTATTTGTAAAGGTGTAAGTATATACTCCAGAGAATCAGTATGGATTCAGGCTTTTCACAGCAGTTAATATGCAGCTGCTGTTGTATATGAAGCCGCTACAAGGCTTTCCTTTTTAACTTGGTAAATCTACATCCATGTAAATTTATAACTAAACAGTCAGTTTTCAAACCACTGATGAGTTTTTAGATTCTACAGTGCTGGGCCTGACTTTCTGAAAAAACAACAAGGGGCTCATTCAGTATGGCTACAAAATACCAGACTGTTGGTAGCAGTTTGCCAGTAATCTCTTCCCAGACCATCATCCATTGTATTCAGAATGTGTGAAAACTAATACATTTCCCAGTCCCTGTCCCCCCACGGAACACCAAATATGATAACAAATAGATTATAGAGCAACCGTGATTCTTTTGCAGAAATGCTGCACATCAATGATTTAAAAAAACCAAAACAAATTGCAATTTACAGGTGATATGCACAATATCAATGATAAATATTAGGTATGGAGTATTTAGATTATTTCAATTAGATTTATTCTAGCTACCTTTTTTACAATATGCACAACTGCTAGACATTTTTTTCAGAACCAAAATAGAAAAGTACTCCATAGTTAAATGCCCTTGTTCGCTCCCCACTGGATTTTTTCTTTTTTCTTTTTTTTTGCATCTTGAAGGAAATATTGTAACTAACTTTTACTTCCATTTATGAAGATGGATAATGGAATCTCACTGTTGACATCAGATAATTTGTAATCCAATTAGCATAGATTCTCTTTGAAAAACAGCCAAGTGAGTTAAATCACTTGTCTATTATATTCATAATTTCCCTGTTACCTTTCCCCAAACCCTCCTTGTTTCTTTAAACTATCCCATTTTCTATTGCACAGTTAACTTTACAGCATGTAAAGTTAAAATAATGGTTATTTTCTGAGTAATTTATTTCTACATGGAATTTAAGAAGATTCATGAATTTGGTCACTGCTAGCTTCTGTATCCTCATTTTATTTTTAGTTGGGGAAAAACAAAAATATCTCCTCTAATATCAGTTGAGAAGAAAATTGTATGATACTATATATGTGAAATATAGATGAGTTTGGTTTATGCATTAGATAGGATTTTTTAAATGGCTTGTTTAATAAGCCATAGTGTTTTAGTTGCACATATTTCTAGGTCATAATAGATAGACTTGTACTTGATACTAAGCCAAAGAACAAACAAATATATTATGGCATAATATAATCCTTGGTATTCTCTGAGCTTGGTTGTTTACTTGAAGATGTTTCATTACCCAGCTAATGATGATTTCATTATCATCATCAGTGCTAGAAAGGAGTGAGGTTTGCTTTTTATTAGAATTATAGCAAGCTAAATAAAACATTGACTTGATTTCACTTTGGCTAAAAGATGAATTCAGCTATATTATTGCCATAGTAGCTGCCAACCTAGAACTTCCCACTAGTGTGTACATAGCTATACTTGTCTGGCATATGTGCCATCTACGTGGAATGGCCTTGTGGAGGCAGCACCCGCAAATCTTAGCTACTGTGCCCATTCTTTTAGTGGCGGCCGCAAAAAGAGCAGCAGACCCAGTGACGCTAGGGCTGGCAAGAGTGTGCCAGAAATAGAGACAGAACTTCTGGCCCTTTCCGGATCAGCTGTGGGGCCTCCTGCACTTCAAAAATAATAAGACCTCTCTGAAAATAAGGCCAAGCACTTATGAAAAGTTTTCTGGGAAACATGCTACTTGTTCTGACGGAAGGAGAAGTTAGTTCTTTATTTCTTTTCTTTTTCTTTATTATACAGTATTCTTATTTTTTCTTTCTATTTTTCTTTCCATTCTTTTTCCCCCCATCCAATTTTTCTTTTTTCTTTTTTTTGCTGTTTCTTTTGGTTGTGTTACCTTTTAGCTTTTTAATTGTAACATTTAATAAAAATATTGGGAAAATATGATTAAATACTTATTTGGAAGATAAAGCTGCAATGCTCTAGTATTTCACATATTAAATATACTACTATAGTTGCTGTTATCTATTACTTATTATTATATACAAATAATAATATTATACACAAAGGGATGATTTGCATCAGAAATATATAAAAAGAGGTCCCAGGGCTGTATGCTTCTTCTGGAAACCTTGGATGCTACTCCAAAATCCTTCAAAACTATTAGTTAACTATTACTTAATTTTAATACAAGGTAAATGTAATTGAAACAAAACCAAAATTAATTTAGCTGGCCCTACATAATACTTTTTGGAATGTAGCCCATGGTACACCATTCAAAGGCCTAGTGTGGCCATCAGCCAAGAAAAAGTTATGCATCTCTACTTTATATCATTTAAGAGGACATCTGCCTTCCCTGATGAGCTGTAGAATTGGACACATTACAGGTGAGAATCAGAAGAAGAAAAAGATTCCCAATTATATTTCACTTGATTATGTTAATAATGTGGTACTTATAACCATTATTTTTAGTTTGCCTGGTTACTTATAAGTGGAAAAATTTTCAATTAAATGGAAGAAGGGGACAGTGTAAATAAAGAAACTTACATACAAATGCAATACTTTAACAGGGCCTGTATTTTGCTGACTGTCTTAGATTAAAAACCAATTTCTGTAGTCATAATAGTTTTAGTTGTGAACTTGTACATGTCATATCTTTATATATGTTTTGTTTGCAAAGGCTCAGAAATAATAGTTATGTGAAATAGTTTCCACAAAAGAAAGTTAGTTGGAAATCAAAGTGAGCAGCCCAAAGTGCTGTAAGTGCTTTTTTTCAGACTAAAATTGTATATATTTGAATATGTATTGCTCAGTGTTGGAGAGAGTAATCCCTTTGCCTTTAAAATGGTGTTTGGGTAAGCAGAAAAGAGTGCAGTAGAAAAAACCCTCACAAAGACATTGCTTCTCCGTGGTATTTTGAATTTGGCTATTGACTGCAAAAGGTATGACACTTTCTGAAAAACCAAAAAAAAAAAAAAAAAATTTTCATGGGTAGTTTTGGGGTAAAACATGAATGATGGATACTGAGTTTAAGTTTACTTTATTGTCATTGTACTTTGTACAACGAAATTAAATGCTGTCTTCAGTGTACATCATACATAAGAAAACTATAAAAACGTAAAACAAAAACACACATCCTTCACAGTTCATTGATACTTACTGTGATGCTATAATGCTATTCATTTGTACCTGCAGTATGGAGCAAGGACCAACTCCTGTTGAAAAGAAGAAGAAAGGAAAAAGGAAAAATGACACGTCACTTGATAGTTTAGAATTGGATCAAGGCCTCCTTTCATTGTCTGGACAAAACCTTGAAGAATCTGTTGAATCAGTTGACAGTCAGGTATACTTGAATCTTTATGGATATGAAACAATTTAGTATTGCTACAGTTTTCTCATGAGTACAACCAGTTTATGCTTCGCTAGTTCCTATTATTCTTTGATTCTGATTGTTAGGGTCCCACCAAAATGTACCTGTATATTAGCTTTTACACAGAACTGGAAATGTGGAAAGTTGTCAAATTGTAGTCATTCAAATAAAGATTTTTTTAAAACAAAAAATGTAAGATTGTTTCTAGACACAATTTAGAGCTTCTACCACACCCATACACCAGTTTACACATTAACAATAGCAACAGCACTTAGACTCATATACTGCTTCACAGTGCTCTAGAGCCCTCTCTAAGCATTTTACAGAATCAGCATATTGCCCCCAACAATCTGGGTTCTCATTTTACCAACCTCAGAAGGATGGAAGGCTGAGTCAACCTTGAGCTGGTCAGGATTGAACTGCTGGCAGTTGGCAGAGTTAGCCTGCATTTTTGCATTCTAACCACTGCGGCTCCATGGCTCTAATTGCCTTTAGTTGCCTAAACTTTTTACCACAGTTTGGTGAGGATCTCATCAACATAATTCAACCTTATCTTTCTTGACGTGTTCTCTTTCTTCTCTCACTGTTAAATCTTCCACCCTATATTTGTTTTGCACTTCTGTCTTCATTCCTTCTCTATTTTCTGTATTTTCCCTCCTAATCACAATTTTGACTTGTACTGCAGGATGACCAGCATAACAATTTAATAAATAATAACAACTATCTTTGTCCTTGATACAATAATTTGCATATGCTTATTGCATTATTGAGCTTTGCAGCACATCATTCAGTTTAATGTGTGCACACTTTTATGTTCCCAATCAATAGACCTCTGTTGGCCACAAGCATTCCATAAATTCACAAAACAATCATAGGAACATCACACATCTTTTTTACAGGAGTTATGTTCACCATATGGACTGTATTATCTCGACTTGCAATTATGTGAACGGGCCTTCACAGATAAAGTATAAGAAAGACATCCCTTCACATTTGTTTAGTTCACCTATCACTTTAAAGTACATTGAAGTTGCTTTGGCTTAGCATCATATAGGAACCTAGCCCAAAGTGGTTAATGATTTTAACATTTTATTTGACCTAGGCCATTGACTAAGATGCAGAGCATTTCGGTTCACATATTCAGTTGTAATTTCTCAAGGGTTGAATCATGAAGTAATCAACAGACAAGGATGAACTATCAGATTCACTGATATTGATCAGAAAGAGCTGAAGTTAGGCAGGAGAGGCACTCCATAGGGAATTTTCTGAAAGTGTTATATTAAAAGATCACTTGATGTAAAGAGAACTGTCTGAAAGTGATTTCTGAATTGAGCAGTGTGTTTACTTAAAGAATATATGCAGTATGCAAGAGCAGCGTGTGGTTTAAATATGACTCCAGGAAAGATAGAAAGTGGGCAAAAACAATTTTCTTCTTTTTCAGAATTTAGATAAATTGGCAGGCAATTTTTAGGATTGGCAGTTTTCTCCCTTTCTTTCCTTGCTATCCAAAACTGCCTAGAGGGTTGGCAAAGTATTCTAGGACCAGGTGGTGATGGAATAGAAATGTAATTTATTATGAAAAAGTAGGAAAACACACACACACACACACACAGAGAGATTTGTATTCATTTCCTGCTTTATGTCTTAACTTGTCTACGTCTTGTCTTATGTTGGTGTATTTTTTAGAGCTTTTCAGTATGATAAAACTAGTACATGGAAGGATGCACTCTCCATCGTTTGAAATATTGGCTTCATTGATTTGGCATCATTTATTTTTGGGATGGGATGTTCAAACTTTTGAAGTGAGAAGCTAAATCATATGTCTATGTCTTACAACATTTTGTTTAGTTCAAGCTTCTGGTGCCCTAATTTTCTCACTTGCTGGCAACCTATTGGCCAAATTTAAGCAATGTGTGTTTCTTTGTATAACCTGGACAAGGGCTGGATTTCAGCTAAGCAATATTGTATATATCTCTTCTACCATGTTTGAATCTCTGTTTGCTGTACAGAAGCGCCGTTCAGGACGCCAGGTGAAGCGTAGGAAGTATAATGAAGACTTGGATTTCAAGGTGGTTGATGATGATGGTGAAACAATAGCTGTACTGGGTGCTGGCCGAGCTTCTGCACTTTCTGCATCTACCTTGGCTTGGCAAGCAGAGGTATGGCTGGGAGAATTGGGAAACAAAACTTAGTTCCACTTAAAAAATCCATTTGCCTGTGAATTCATAGCACAGTAAGACATGTGAGATCATGTTTGCAGCAATTATAAAAGAATTACTTATCTTGAGTAAAATCAATGTTTTTTTTTCTAAACTGAATTGTAGAGTGCATTCATTTGTAATAAATTCCCAATCGAGGATAACATGTGGGGTGATATACCAGAAAAATGCAGCATTAACCTTTTTCTGCAATTTTAAGTTATCCCAAATAAGTGAATCATTTAACTGATTATGTTCTGTCACTTGAAATGTAATAATATATACATACCCAGAATCTATTCTTACTTAATTTACTACCAAATAAGTATTTCCCAAATGACATTCTAATCTGATTTTGATTTCTCCATATTTGTTCCACTTTAGAAAATTTCTTAGAGTAGTTCTTTATATTTAATTATAAGCAAAGATTGATAATCATGATAAGCTTCTATTATAATTAAAACAACATTAAAATGACTTAAGAATCAGTTTGGTGTAGTGGTTAAGGCATCCCCCTGGGAACTGGGAGATTCTTTAAGTAGTAGTTCCACCTTAGGCACAAAGTTAACTGGGTAACTTTGGACCAGTCTTTCGCTTAGGAAGCAGGGAATGGCAAACCATTCCAAAATTTTGCCAAGAAAACTGCAGGAACTTGTCCAAGCACTTGCCAGGACTCAACACTGACACAATGGCACCCCTCCTCCAAATACCTTCTTTATTAATTATATTTTATCCCACCTTTATTATTGTATAGGTAACTAAAGGAGGTAAATATATATACTGTAAAACACTGTCCTCCTCCTTTTCCCCCACACAAGAATAATCCTGTCAGGTCTGGGAGAGATGCAGAGAAAATGTGCAAGGAGCAGAAATACATATGTAAACTAAATTCAGTTCATAAGCTGATAGTTTGTTTTCAGTGATTATCTTTAGTAATCTTCAGGCACTCTCACCCATTTTATCTGCCACTTTGTTTTTATATGGGAATAAATATATGATCATTAGAATAGACAAGACCAGAATAGAATTGTACATCATATACTGTATAAGTAGTCATCATGATGTACCTTTGATGACCGTTAGTTCAGTTCTGTTTAAAGTTACAATGATACCGAACAAGGATCCTCAGAGTTGTGGCCGTCACAATATCCTGGTGGTAATGTGATTGTGATTTGGGTACTTGACAACCAGCTCACAATTATGATGGCCACAACAACTTGCAGTTACATGACTGGACCTAACAATCGTCCATCAAAGTCAGTGGGGAAACTATCAAGAGGTTACAAATTGCAATGATGTGATTTTACATGACAAGAAGTACACTGTCTATTAATTCCAAGAAATGTCTTGAAATACTGAAGGTCCAACTTTGAATGTACATTGCTTTAAAACAGGAATCCCAAACCTTTTGGGTCTCAGGGACCACTAAATTCATAATTTTAAATCCTGCGGACCACTAATATGCTCAGCCTAATGACTGGCTGGGTGGGTGTGGCTAGGTGGTCATGTGACAGGGTGGGCGTGGTCAACTTGATGTCACTCACATCGAGGGGCGCCTTGCCGGCCTCTACTCTCCCCTCCCAGCCACTCCTGGCCCGCCTGGGCTCCTTAGGGAGCAGTTGTTGGAGCTAAACAGCAACCTGGATCAGTTCAAATTGGATCTGACCGAGAAGGAGGCTCAGCAGAAGCATCTCATGGAGGTCTACGAGCATAGGCTTTCCAAGCAGAGGGAAGACCTGTGAGAGTGCAAGGCCAAGTACCGGCATGTGGAGGCTCAGCGGGCTGAGATGGTGAGCCAGTTCCAGGCCATGATACAGTGCCGCTGGAGCAAAGCCATCTGGCTCTTTGCCACCAGTGGCACTTCCCTCCAGCGTTCATCCAAAGCACCGCATCAGGAGGCTGAAGTAGACCCCGAGTTGGAATTTCTGCCCCTCCCCTCTGACCCGCACAAAAAGACCCCAAAGAGGGAGACTCTCTGCAGCAGCAAGTTCATTGCATGTATCCGGCCCAGGGCCTGTAGTTTGAGGACCCCTAATTTAATGCAATATAAAAAATGCAAAATAATTTTTCTGTGGACCACCAAAATTTTCTCACGGACCACGAGTTGGTGACTGCTGCTTTAAAACACTAAATGCAACGATCACATCTGGGCAGCTAAACTTCCTTCTTCCTGCCTCTGCTCCATAGGAACCTCCTGAGGATGATGCCAACATTATTGAGAAAATTCTTGCCTCCAGGATGGTGCAGAAAGAGGTGAGAGCCTCCCTTGTCATCGGAGCCCTTTCAGTTCCTTTATGAGTTATTATTCTATGGAAAGGAAAGAATAGGATCGATTGTGTTAAATTATAACCCTTGGTATTATAAGAAGATGCTGTAAATTATTTACTTTATCATAATTTATTTCCCACAGTAATATGATAATGAATAGTAGGACTATTCTGTTTGGAGCTTAGCTTCTTTATGCAGTGAATGAATAGTCTGGAATTTGGAAGTCCTGTTGGAAGCCGGGGCAAGTGTTCAGTTTGAAGCTCAAGGCAGAGGGATATTGCTCTCTCTTTGCCTAGAGTGGGTACTTCAATTCAGAATGCAACTGATGGCAAAATTGTGCCTCAAAAGTTGCTTCCTCCCCTCACCAATTCCAGTATGTAAGTGGATGTTCAGATCTGAAACATATTCTCTGCTGGTTTATTCCATAACACCACTTCCAAAAATCTGGATGGTTTATTTGTTTTTATTATTTTAAAATGTTTTCAGTATTTTTAATTGTAATGTATTTTTTTATTTGTAAGCTGCCCAGAATCATTGATTGAGATGGGCAGCTATAGATATTGATTGATTGAATGGATGGATGGATAAATAAATAAATAAACTGAGAAATAGATAAATAAATAATATATAATGGATGCTAAGCATTAATGAGTATAATATATCTATATAATTAAAGAAACAATCAAACAAATAATTGTTGTTCCAGATTTATCCTGGAGGAGCAACTTATGAACAGGAAGAGTTCTATGTAAAGTACCGCAATTTGTACGTATAGCATGTGTTTGTCTTATCAATGTGCTACGTACTGTTCTGTTTTGGATGTCCAAAACGTATAAAGTAGCATCTATTTCGTCATAATAGAAGTTGACTGATTTGTCAAAATTGATTTTGCTCAATTTCATATTTTTCCAACTTTAAATTCCTTATAGCTGATTTCTGCAACACTATCCCTAATGTTTGAATTTTTGTATTTTTTTTCCTCAATTTATATCTTTGGGGAAACACTAGTAAACTAATACATTACAGTTTTATGCATACTTCTGCCAGAATATGCTTATTTGATTGCATTTTTTAAACATTTAAACATGATATTAACTGTAAATTACCCTTCAGCTTTTGGGAAGATATAGATATTGTGATGCAATTACATACTTGAAGGAAGTGGACAAGTTTGTCTTAAAATACCAATCATGTACATGTCTTCCTGGTTCCTTCTTAATAATCTGAATGATACTTTTTGTTAATTCATAGTTCTTATTTGCACTGTAAATGGGCCACCATGGAGGAGCTAGAAAAAGATCCCCGGATCTCCCAGAAGATTAAACGCTTTCGCAATAAACAGGCCCAAATGAAGCACATTTTCACTGAGGTCAGTAATGAATTTTCCTAGTTGATTTTATGTATTTTCTCAGAATATTTTAAAAGTTCTGCTAACTGGGGCTATTTTTTGTGGTATTGTGGATATATGCAATTAGCAATGTGTACGCATATAAGCAGCACCATTGCTGTAAACTAAAGCAAAATTATGGTTAAAGAGCTTGTCTTTGACTCTCCTTTACTAGCCTGCCTGCCCTTGTACACAGGGACTCACATCCTCATTTCCCAAATTGCCTGAGCTCAATCCGAACTGCAGCAACCCCCAACTTATAAGCAATCTTTGCCAGATCTCCCTGAGCCTCTCCCCCATGGCATCCCCATGCTTCTTACCTGGGATGCCCTCTACTTTCTGCTTAACGACCCACATGTCTTGGGGGTTATGATTACAACCAAGAATTCCTGGATTGCTATTGCTAAGCATGCAGTCATATAATGTTGCACTTTATAACCAAATTGCTTAGCTATGGCAATCGTGTTCCCAATTGCCATTGTAACTCATTTAACTTTTTAAAAATTGATTTTAACTCTGAATTTTATAAATTGTTTTGAGTCTATAGGAATCGGTGGGGATAATAAATTTAAATTAATAGATGATGATGATGGCCTAGATCAGGGGTATCATCAGGAGTCATCAGCAATTTCATTGAGAGTCACATCAGGGTTGTGTTTGACCTCGGGGCCAGGGTGTGTGGCCAGGGCATGGACAGGGTGGGCATGGATAGCTCAGTGTCACTCATCAAGTCTCTATTTTTAACCACGACATTCTCCTGCAGCCTCTGCCAGTGAAAACAGAACTCAGAGGTCACATGCAGCCCAAGCGCATGGGTGGGCTGCGTGCAGCCTCCCTGTGCTCCATTTTAGTCGGCAGAGGGGTGCAGGAGGCTGTCGCCGCCAAAAACAGAGCCTGGGCAGGATGCGTGCGGCCTCCCTGAACTCCATTTTCGTTGGCAGAAGATTGTAGGAGGCCGTTGCAGCTGAAAACAGCCCGGGCGGGCCGTGGGTGGCCCTCACAAGCTCCTTTTTCGCTAGCAGAGGCACCGTGGGCAGGTCCTTCGCTGTTTCCAGGGCGGGCCTCTGGGAAAGATCTAAGCACCCTGCAAGCCAGATCCAGCTCCTGGGTCTTGAGCTTGACATCCCTGACCTAGATAAATAAAAGTACAAAATTATTGTACCTCTGCCATGGGAAATCAGGAATAGAAAAGTTTATATAATGGCATGTTGCCAGCCAACAGATACCTGAGAATCTTGTTTTTAGAGTGCTCTCTTTCTAACTATCATGTTGTTACATGTGATGCTATTGTGGATGTATTGTGGAATTGGAATGGAAGAGGTTGACTTTTTCCTGAGCAGAGATAAATAATTGATGTCCTGTTCATTTAGTATGGTAATTTCAATCTTATCATAATAGATATTTATATTTCTGACAGCTCAAGATGAATACTCAGTGAGAATATTGGTTGATTTACGGTTGCTGTTTTTGTTTAGTAATTGTTCCAACCAGCATCTTGAAAAAGAAATGTTGGTATAAAACTCACACTTTCCATACAGGTAGTCCTTGGCTCATGTTCATTTATTCAGCAACCATTCAAAGTTATGGTGGCACTGAAAGAATGGACATAGGACTGGTTCCCAAAGTAGTACCCCCATCACGTGACCCCATTCCAGGAGCTTGGTTGTTCAGCTTGTGATTATGATGATACAGGCAGCTGTGGCCAAGTGGTTGCTATTTGTGACTTTTCTTCCCAGCTTCCCACAAGCAAAGTCAATGTGGAAGCTGACAGCAAATGTCTCAAGTTGTTCCCGTAAGTTGTTCTAGCCTGCAGCAACTCCCTACCTGCTTGCAGCCTCCACCAGCCCTCCCAGGCCCTCCTTGGCTTCCCCCCAAATCACATGCAACCTGTACTGGACCTCCCCAACCTTCCCTGGCCTCCCCTATTTCTCTGTGACACCCTTGTATTTCTTATCTGGGATTCCAGGACTGCCAGGATTGCCATAGCTTTGCTATCCAGTTACATGATGTTGTGCTTTACAACCATATCACTTAGTGACAGCAATCCTGATCCCAATTGCCATCATAATTCAAGGACTATCTATAGGAAATTGTAGTCTCTTTCTACAAAATTAAGCATTTTTCTAGTTGCAGGGTATGGGGAACTAGTTGGGAAAAGGTAAAAAGTGGAAATAAGTTTCAAACTCTCTGCTTGAAGAAGAGAGATAAAGTCTTCTCAGCTGGACTCTTCGAATGCTATCCACCCTTATATTCTTCAGGGATCCCAACACAGCTCCAAATTCCAAAGAATGTCCTTTCATGTTATGTAACCATTATCCACTGCTATCTTTTTTTTTTATATTTAGTTTCATTTATTTTTAGTGGGAAGTAATAGAGCATTTTTAGGGACACAGTGGCTCAGTGGTTTAAGACGCTGAGCTTGTCAATCAGAATGGTCGGCAGTTCGGCGGTTCGAATTCCTAGTGCCTCATAACGGAGTGAGCTCCCGTTACTTGTCCCAGCTTCTGCCAACCTAGCAGTTTCGAAAGCATGTAAAAATGCAAGTAGAAAAATGGGAAAGTAACAGTGTTCCGTGTGCCTTTGGCATTAGTCATGCCGGCCACATGACCACGGAGATGTCTTCAGATAGCACTGGCTCTTTGGCACCGCCCCTAGAGTCAGGAACGACTAGCACATATGTGTGAGGGGAACCTTTACCTTTAGTGGAGCATTTGGAAGAGTTGAGTTTCTGCTCTGAACCTTTACACTTTTATTCTAGATGAGCAGAATTTGCAGTTTTACAAGTGAAAATAAGGAGGTTTGGGTGGAATTATTTTTCTAATATCTCTTGGTCTTCACACATCTATTTGGGGCTTATATTTCAAAGATTGCAACTGAGGTATGTAAGGAAAAAAGCTGCCAAAGCTTTTATTTCTACAAGAAAGTCCAGGGAAGAACCTGCTAAAGAGCTGTTTTGCTTGCAACTCTATTAAAAATAAAATGAAATTATTTGACAGTAAAAATTGCTTCCTTCTTGCTAGTTCAGGAGGCCCAAACGTTTATTTCTGTCATCCCATATGACTTTCTTGTTTCGCCATCTGACATAAATTAATAACTTGAGAAACTGGTTTTTCTTTCCTGGCTAGGCCTAACATGACCTAATGCATATCTGCTGTTTGATTCTTATTTTGCCAGCCTGATGAAGATCTGTTCAATCCAGACTATGTGGAAGTTGATAGAATTCTAGAAGTGGCTCACACAAAGGACTCCGAAACTGGGGAGGTATGATTATTATTTGCAATTCACATACCCACATTCTTGATTTTCCATGGCTGACCTCAGTCTGGGAAGCAGAGGGAGCTGCTTCTTAGTAAAACACAGTGATACAATTCCCCCCCCCCCCCAAATCTGTCTCTTAATTGCCAAGAGTTTTTCAGCTAAGTAATTGTGAACGTCCATGCAGTTTGTCCTGCTGACTCAGCAAGTTTAGTCCTAGAAATAAGAGATTACTGAAATGTAGTCATTGTGTGACTCTAGAATAAAGTTTCTGTAGGACAATTTTTCTGAGATCTCTGTAGTCATATGTGTATTTAAATTGCAACTATAAAAATCAGCCTTTTTTTTCTTCATAACCCATTCTCAAATATAGTCTAGAAAGAGACTTCTCCTTTGAACTGCACAGCTCCCTTGGAAGAGATATGTTGCCTTGTAACTTTGGTTTAGAACTGATAAGATCAGCACAATTATGATATAGGTGTTCTGCTTCATGGAAAAGTGACAAGAGTTCAGGCAGAGCCCACTCCACGCTTGAGAGGTACATTCCTTAGCTGGCTTTTAAAAACTCAGATTCTTTTAATTTCTCATGCCTCAGAGCTTTGCTCCACAACATAACACCTTGGATATAGTCCTTGGCATCTTCCTGGCTCCAAGCTCCATATGACTGAGAATGGAGCATAGTAGTACCAAATTTGTAAATAGGAGAGTTCCAACTCCCCTCAAGGCAGTGATGATGTCTGTAGAATGCTCTAAATGGGCCTTAAATCTCAGCAGTTGTCAAATTTATTAGGAGTTGACGCTATCACATCATACGTTGTGCATGCAGTAAACCCCAGGTTCAGTTCTGTTTATAAGGCATACTACATCTGGACTGCAAAAATCCAGATGACTGTTAGATGGCAGCTTATAAGTTTGTGCATCTTTTTGTTGCATTTTTGCAGCCCAGTTATGGTTGCTTTAGCCTCCTGGTTTGAAAAGTAAGAATCTACCAGTCAATATAGGCAATATTCCTGTACCTAAAAAAGAAGAATGGAATCAACGTGAAGTCTTTATAATTCCATATTTTAATGAAAATCAGATGGGAGAAGGAGGCTATAGAGAAGTCTTCTACTTTTTAACAAATGCTTTAAACCTTTCTGAATTAATTAAAATAAGTATATATTGGTTTAATTCTTACAATTTACCTCAGTGTAAATGATAAAGCATTATTCAGTTTTCACTCCACATTTGGAATTATGTGATTATGAACCTTTGTATAGCTATAAGAAAATATTCTTCTACTTGTAACACAAAAGTTAGAAATGAGATATGGAGATAATTTTTACATGGTGACAAAATTCCTAATTTTGGATGTTTTTCTCCTCCCATGTACCTGTGTAATTATACAGTGTACGTGGTCTTAAAAATTAGAGATAAGTGAGAGTATTGATACTAAATCATCCCTCTCTCCCAAGGCCTATGGAAATGCCGTGGAACATCCATATCTTTGAAAATTCATATTTCTACTCCCTGCCTTTCATGTTAAATCATGAAAAAAGATAAAACATGGGTTTTTGATTAACAAATGATGACTAAATGTTTTATGAGTTTACCTTTTTAAAAAACATTTACATAAATAAGTACACTTGGAAGTTGATGTCCCCTTTTTGTGAGGAAATGTTTATTTATTTATTAAATGTATATGTTGCCCATCTCACAGTCGAAAGTGATTCTGGAAAGATAGAGGGCTTTTTTTATATATATAAAGGTTTTTCCTTTTCTTCAGAAGCATGTGAAAGCTGGTTCTAAAGTTGTATCCATGATCATATCAATCATGGTTACACCCCTGCATACATCATATGTTTCATCTTACCAAATTGATAATGATCTTGATTCTCTCCCACCCACCCCTAAGATTATCTTTCTTCAAAGAGTTCTATTATTTATTCTTTGTTGCTTTTTATTTTGAGCCCTCACTGCTTCTCCTTTTGTTGTTCCTGGATTGTAGGAGGTGACTCACTACCTGGTGAAGTGGTGCTCCTTACCCTATGAAGAAAGTACTTGGGAACTTGAGGAGGATGTTGATCCTGGGAAGATTAAAGAGTTTGAATTTCTCCAAATTCCTCCAGAACTTAAATCCTTGGTAAAAAATAAATTAAGCTTTGGTTTTGATGGGGGGGAAAAACTGATAGTTATGCGTGAAATAGAATATTGTGGTTCAGCATAATTTCCTCTTTCAGAGCCATTTATATAGCAGTGTTTTTTTTAAATTTTGCCATTCTTTGTTATGTCTTTTCTTGGTACTTTAACTTAGCAGCTCTGAGCATTCCTCTCTTGTCTTCATTCAGATGCCTTTGCCATTTGTACTGTGCCAGTCAGAGTACAAAATAAAGGAAGAAATAGGATTTTCTAAGTTGAAGATAGTATCCCATGTTGTCCATGGAAATTCCAATCTGTTTCTCAGTGCCCTAAGCAGAGGAACTTACACACTGCTGCAGTCCTATGGATCTACTGAACTATTTTTCCAATAAATAAACATACAATTTTATTGTTTAGCCTTTCCAAAAATATATTTCAAAATACAAAAACATATTTCCTTATATTTTACAGAGGGTATTTTTCTCCCTGAGATAATGATTGGCAAATTGGATATATTTTATGTATGTTTGTATGTATATTTGCCAGAAGCTCAAGAAATATGTTTAAGTAAGGGCAAAAATACTTTACTTATCTAATTATCTAATTCTGCTATCTTATATAGATTTATTGATTTAGTTGATCTACTGGTTCCCATATTTTGGTTAAAAAGCTCCCCCTCGGTTTCTGCGTTTTAAAATACTTTTATTCCTAAGTTATGATTTGTATACATTTTCTTATATGTTCTTTTGATGCTGTTTCTTTATGTGGTTTGCAAAAGTAATACTACAGTATTTCTTTGTTTTTCTGCCACATATAGATTAGATTTTTAAAATCTATAATGGGGAAATTTATGGGGCAGATATCACAGGGTGGGTTTTGGACAAAACAAGGAAAGAAAACCAAGGTCCCTAGATCTTAAGTATCCTTTTATTTCTATTTCATGTATTGTATTTGTCTCTATAAAATTTCTCTAATCTATCAGAATTTCATTTCTATTTCTATCCATTAGGAAATGGAAAGAATGCTTATCAAAATTGCCAAGTAATTTGCAAATCTGAGAAGTATAAGATGAAACTTAAACCTTGTGAGATCCTAGCCAATACAATCCCTCCAGTTTGATGGGGAACTATTTATTAGCATTCCTTGAGTCTGAGTTTCAAGCCACTGATATATTCACTTAATTGTCATGTTTCCAACCTATAGCTTATTGATCAGAATATATCACTGCAGTGGGTCGTATATTTTGCTGTAACATTTTATTTATTTGTTTGTTTATTTATACCCCACTGCACTTCCATAGGGCTCACTTTGGTTTTCTAATAATATATAATTAACACAGTGATACTCTAGTAAAGGCAAACATACAAACCCCAAATCCAAAAAATCAGTCCATCTAAACAATCCAAAAGACAATTATTTCTGGAAGGTAACTAAAATTGGGACTTGTGTAATTTATAGTGGGAGGCCATTCCAGATGCCTGACACTGCTACAATGACAGTGCCTCCATGCTTCAGCCTCCTCCACTTCCCGAAAGCAGAGAATCACCTGCTACTTTTTCTGGCAAGATAGAAAAGGCTATCTGGCTTGAATCTGACTGATTTTAGTACCAATATTTTAAAAGCAATTCAGACTCTGCAGCAAATACATAATGAACATGAGCAGTGAATACTGGAAATACACTGATCTGTTGCAGTTTGGACCATATGAAGATTCAAGAGCTCTTTAAAGGCAGTCCCATCTAGAGCTGATTGCAGTAGCCTAAATGATCAGAAATGAGTCAGAATAGCAAAGTCCTTGTGGATTCACCTATATTCTGGAAGGCAATCCACTCTATTACATTCTTCCCTAAGGTCTAGTTGATGGATCTTTGAGGTTTACTTGTCATCATTGCCCCTCTCTACCACAGTACATAGACTATATCATTATTTTTAGACAATATATATGATGAGTAGCTGCTATCTTATGTTTTGTTGGTAAATATTCCTGTATTAAATAGAGAGGAAGAGAAATGTAGCCGAGATCAAATTCCATATTCTGGTAAATTTGTGAGGGAGGCTGTAGTATATCTACAATGATACTCTACATACTCCTTACCATTTTTCAAATATATCTATTGATCCAAACTGGTCAGGGAATCTCCTGATCAATGCAATTTCTTCCTTGCTTTCTCCCTTCCTCCATCCCTAATTCATTTTTTATGTCGTAGGAGCGTCCTGCCTCAGAGTCTTGGCAAAAGCTAGAGAAGTCTCGGGACTATAAGAATAACAACGAATTGCGGGAATACCAGCTGGAGGGAATGAATTGGCTGCTTTTTAACTGGTATAATAGGTGGGTTGCAAATAGGCATTCTCAGTGGGGATAATAATAATATTCCTGAAATTGTGGGAATTGTTTCTGGTTTGTCTTATTAATTCTTTTCTGGATCACACCCTGCCTGTGAATGTAGGTGCAGGTGCACATTGTTACATACATTTTAAAACTATTTTAACCATTTGGGACAATATATTGAAAGTTAAAAACATGAAAGTTGGGGAAGTTAACTCAGCATTTCGTACATATGATGTTGCTATACTCTTTAGGCCCTCCATATTTACCTGCAAAGTTATTTACATTGAGTTGAATGCTCCTCTGCCCAAAGGAAGAGTAGCTAGGAAAAAAATATAAACACCGATAAAATTCCTCTGGAATCTGCAGGATCTGGTCAGCCAAGGGTCCCATCTCCAGTTAGAACTAGACATGGAGCTTTTCCTGTCTCCTGTGAATGTGTGTGCATGTCACACTTGTGTGTGATTTATGGGTGTGTGTTTATATACTTGCCAAATCCGTATTCCAAAAAAAGACAAGGGAAGGGAAAAAAGGATACTAGCTGAATGAACAATGTCTAATTAAAATTAATTCATTGTAAAATAAGATGTCCCATTTATAAAATTAATTGATCTCTCATTGGCATTTACCAGCCATTTATTTTATCATACACAAGCAACTCTCACGTGCAAAAACACATTATACACACATTACCTTCCCTCCTTTCAGCAGAAACTTCCCCCCCCAAAAGGACAAAAAAGCAGGCTGGAGATGAGTTAAGGAGAAGGGATAGCTGCACTGGAAAGGGAAGGAAAGAGGAACGGGAGATCAAAACTGGATGTGAATGAGGCGAAGAAAGAGGTAACTGGATAGGGAAGGGAAAAATTGAGAAAGAAGCCTTGCTTAGGAACTGCAAAAGGGTGAAATTCTCAAGATGAATAGACTCTTCAAGAAAAAGCGAATTTTCCATATGCACTAATATGCATTGTTCATTACCACAGCATTTGGAAATAAATCCCAAGAACAAAGAAAGTTGTTTTAAAATGGCAGAGTGAATAAAAAGTTGGTTAAAAAAACTCCCATAGGCAATATTTTGTGTCAGAATTAGTCTGCAGGGGACTTCACCCATTGGTAAAGGAATCGTTTTCAGAAGGGCTTCCAAAGTTTTGTAATGGCTGCTGTGGCATTTCCACAGGAAAAACTGCATTCTGGCTGATGAAATGGGTTTGGGGAAGACGATCCAGTCCATTACATTCCTCTTTGAGATCTATCTGATGGGTCTTCGAGGTCCATTTCTCATCATTGCTCCACTTTCCACCATCACAAACTGGGAGCGAGAATTCCGTACTTGGACTGAGTTGAATGCCATTGTGTACCATGGCAGCCAGATAAGCCGCCAGATGATCCAGCAATATGAGATGGTTTATCGGGATACACAGGTTTGTGCTACTGTATATATCTTAAGGAACTTTTTCTTGCTTGTTTTCAGCCTTGGGAATATAATCTGTAGTGTGGAATGGGGAGAATTGATTAAAAATAAAGCTTTTGAGAAGGGACAGTGGAAACACTAAATGTAGAGGTAACAAGAAAGGCCAACTTGTATTTAGGCATTTCTTAGCTAAGTAGTGTCCCATGTTTGATGACTTGAAAATAAAGATTCAGGATGTTTCTTCGCCATTTTTAAAATCAAAACACACTACAGGTAATCCTCAGATTAAAATGGCAGTTGCTACCAGGACTGTTGTCACTTAGCAATGTGGTTGTAAATGTGATGTCATCAGTGGTGGGTTCTGGATCCCGGTGCAACCGGTACGGTGCAACAGGGCCAAGCGTCCACCATATGAATGCATGTAGCACACGCACAGTGCGCGCATGCCTGCGACGCCTCCGCGATGCTCGAGCTGCTCAGCGGAGCCTCACGCAGGCGCTGTACGCTCCGTGCATGTGTGTGGAAGCCCCGAACAGCTCAAATACAGGTAAGGAGCATGAGCAGACGGGTGGACCTTCTGGAGCACCGGAACGGTACCAGGTGCTCCCAGCAAGCACTAGTATGCCCGTACCGGGGTGTACTGGTCGTATCCCACCACTGGATGTCATGTGACTGAATCACTTGGTAACACAAATACAGGCAGTCCCAACTGTTATTGTAACCCCATGTGGGTTGTTAAACAGGAAGCGAAGGGAGTTCATGTAAGAACAGTGTGGGTGCCATAGTAGCTTGTTGCAGGGGGTAGGAAGGATCTGAGAGGCTTGACACAGGATGCGCACAAGTTGGAGGTGGGAGAGAGTTGTGCAAGCTCATCAAGGTGAGGGAAAGAGTATATGGGACTGCAACCAATCATAAGTGCAAGCTGTTTACCAATGCCCAAATTTTGTTTATGTGAGCAAAGGGGTGCTGCGGTGGTCAGAACTTCGGGGACTGATTGTAAGTCCCTTTGTTCAATGCTTTCATAATTTTGAACAGTTGCTGAACAAATGGTTATAACTTGAGGAATACCTGTACAGAAAACCAGAGAGGCACACTACAACATGGAAAAATGTATTTGTGTGGATTGGTTGCCTTTGGATTGTAGGTCTAGATTCACATTGCATTTCTTTGGATTTTCTGCATGTTAGACAGATAGTCTTAGCCTTAAAGGATCTCAGACAGATAGTGGAATTATACCACTATAATTTAAATGCTGAATATTTGTATGAATAAGAGAATGGTCATGGCTAATTAATAGCACAGGTAGTCCTCATTTAAGAACCCTAATTTTCATCAGCAAGTCTGTAGCTAAGCAAAGTAGTCATTAAGCAAAACATCATGTCACTGCCCTGCTTAGTTATTAAAGTTCTGGCAGTTCTGGTTGCAGTTTTTAGGTGAGTCACCTATGGTCATGAGACATCACATGACCACAACTTGCAACTTCCTCCATTGAAAATGGCTTCTTCATTGACTTTTCTTATTGGAAGCCAGCTGGGAATGTTGCAAATGGTAATTATTTGTTTGTGTGACACTGCAACTGTCTTAAATGTGTAATGCTTGCCAAGTGCCCAAATTGCAATCATGTAAGTGGCAAGGACTGGTTATAAGTCATTTTCTTCCAGCACTAGCATTACTTCGAACAATCACTAAATGAATGGTCATTAAGTGAGGACTACCTGTATTGTGAAGTAGATACCTTTCATAACCTTTTAAGTAGAACATGTAAATCTCCTTTTGATGCATTTGTTTCAGACACCATGTAGTTTGTTGCAGTATTCAGCGAACATCTACCAAGAATGCAATCATAACTGATCAGCACTAATTGCTATCTAGGAATGTAAATTCCAACTTATTTTTTATAATATCATCCTTAGGGTATTCCTCTTCCTGGGCTCTTCAAATTCCAGGTAGTTATTACCACGTTTGAGATGATCTTGGCAGATTGTCCAGAGCTGAAGAAGATCCACTGGCGTTGTGTGGTTATTGATGAGGCCCATCGGCTCAAGAACAGGAACTGCAAATTACTGGAAGGATTAAAGCTCATGTGTCTGGTGAGAATTTTTCAAATGGTATTGCTCTTCTGAATCATATGGAAATTTGACTCTGCACATTACAGAAGCACATGAAAGATACTGCAGGCACACGTGCATATATGAAAGTGTATTCATTTCTTTAATATTTCTTAGGTCTTCATCAAGTGCTATTATACTTTATAGTATCTCATTGTTCTGTGGCTTCAAAAATATAACAGAAAATATTTATTATAGTTTTCTGCTAGCTAAATATTTCTTCTACTGTGTGCATGCTAGAACCATAGAAACTGAAGATTTTTGTATGGTTTTCAGCTTTAATAGTAATTACATCTGATGGCCTGTGAATGCTGCTTACGGTTAAGTGACTTGAAATATAGAAAGGTTTCCTGTAAGCTTTTCTAGCTTGGCAAAATGAAGTCTGTATATTCCTTAGAGGGTGATTGGATGAGCAGAATATCTGCTGGCTTTAAAGATGTAAAAACAGTCCCAGGCCTCTAGAACTGAAAACAATATTTTTGACTTGCAGTGAGACCTGCAGTCAACAAAAATATTGCGGCAGCAATGTTAGGAAATAAAGCCTAATCTTATCATGTTCTTTCTGTAACTTGACTATTATGATCTTTCCTTGAATGGTAAACAGGAACATAAAGTGCTGCTGACTGGGACACCCCTGCAGAACTCAGTGGAGGAGCTCTTCAGCTTGTTGAACTTCTTGGAACCACAACAGTTCCCATCTGAGACAGCCTTTCTTGAGGAGTTTGGGGATCTCAAAACAGAAGAACAGGTAAGCAAGAAAACAGTTTAATAAATTCTCCACTGATATGGATTTACTATGATATTTGCCCGAGGAAATTGGGGTGGGGGTGGGGTTGACAGTTTCTTGCAGATGAACTTAAGTTATCTACTGAGTAAGCATTCGGCTACAGTGACAAAAGGGTATAGAAATAAACAGTGCAAAAAGGTTGCCCAAACTATGGTGCGACCATACTTTTTTTTTGGATAAAATAGATCTCTCTTATTATTTTTGTATTCTGATTTGCACTTTAAAAAAAAAAAAAAGAAAGAACACAATGCAGCAAACTCAAAACATTCATTATATATAAACATATCCTCACTTTCTTCATATACAAAATATTTCTGGTCATATGCAACCATATTGAAAAGTATATGTAATTTACTTGCCAACAAACCTAATTCACCAAGATTTTCATTTTTCATATATCACTGGATATTTAGGTATATCTGCATTTATACTCATGTTTTCCAAAGGTGCCTTTACTATCTGTTGCACGTACATACTTTCTTGCTGAATCTAGGAGCTGGAAAACAAATAGTACAATTACGCGGTTTTGCCCTAATATGATAATCTTATAATTTGAGCAGTTACATATTCCCTCAATGTACTAGCCCTGGCATCACTGAGAATTATTTTTTGTATTACTTTCATGAATTATTGGGAAAGTGTTATATATGATATTGGTAGATTATATTTTTTAATCCTGACAGGTGAAGAAACTCCAGTCTCTTCTAAAACCCATGATGCTGCGAAGGCTGAAGGATGATGTGGAGAAGAATCTAGCACCTAAACAGGAGACCATCATTGAAGTAGAGCTGACCAACATCCAGAAGAAATACTATCGAGCCATCCTGGAGAAAAATTTTAGCTTTCTATCCAAGGGTGCTAACCAGCATAACATGCCTAACCTCATCAATACCATGATGGAGTTGCGCAAGTGCTGCAATCATCCCTACCTCATTAACGGTAAGAGGTAGGGCTGGAAGTTGGGCACTCCAGCCCACTTAACGTATGATGGGGAAATAATGGTGCTTCAATTTTCCATTTGCCCATCAATAGTCAGCAATGTTTTGCTTGGTTTTCTTTGCTACCTTCCTAGTTAGTTGATGATGGTAGCATAATGATTGCTTTCATTTATTTTTCATTTGGAAAGCCTCATAACAGTAACAAATATTGCTCTGTGTACTTAGCTGAAAGATTGTCTGTGGATGAATCAAAGATGAAGAATGCTTATATGTGTGTACAGAATGTACGTTTTATAAGAATGTATGTTTCATAAAGGAATAAAAATTGGCATTTGCTTTGTATTTTTTACAAAGCCTTGGTAAAAATAAGGAATAGCACCAGAGGTTTTCTGCTAGAATGTTGTATGATGGGATTGCTTTTCATATTGGTTATGCAACTTAATTCCTACTGATTCCGCCCCCCTTCTATTTCTGGGTTAGGAGCAGAGGAAAAGATCCTAGAAGATTTCCGTAAAACCCACAACTCAGAAGCTCCTGATTTCCAGTTGCAGGCAATGATCCAGGCAGCAGGCAAGCTGGTGCTGATTGATAAATTGCTGCCAAAGCTGATTGCAGGCGGGCACAAGGTGTTGATCTTCTCCCAGATGGTGCGCTGCCTTGATATCCTGGAGGATTATCTCATCCAGCGGCGGTCAGTACAGTCTAGAAGCTTATGCAGAAAAGAGCATCATTTGGATCAATTCTAAGCAGTTATTTGGCTATAAGTTCATAAGACTATACGTATCTTCTAGTGCATCTGTATATACTATTTTCTTCTCATTGTCTTAGGTTCTTTCACCTCCTTGTTATTTTTTCCTCTTTTCGCTCTGATTTTGTTTGTCTCTGCATGCTGTTTCAGACTTTGCCTTTTTTATCCTTTGCAGGAGAAATGTATTTTTCAAACATATATAAAGCTTATATTGAAAAAAAATGTTGAACTGAAATATTTCTCCAGTTCTTTGTAAACATAATTAGTTGCAAGGCTACTTTTGGAATATTGATGTCATCCAGCATCTGTCTTTATAGAAGGAGCATGCTGCAGCTCAGAGATCAATCAAATTGTCAATGTAGTCATTAGAACTGCAGGATTTCCTCCTCCTTGCCAATTGCTTGGTGGCAACATTGTCCTTTTCATGTTAGTCATTTTGCAAATCACTAAAATAAAATCTTGCCTTTATAGGAACAGACAAGAGTTCTCAAGAAAAATAGGGGTTGTAGTGCTGTGAAGAAGCTGTAGGAGATTAACTTAAATGACGCTCAGAGCACTGCAGAGAAGAGAATAGCCTTATGGACTAGGACATTTGCTGGTCTGAAAGCATCTACTTCTCTTATGAATGACTCTGAAGTATGTTCCGTCTTCCTTTCAGTTTGGAAAGGAAGTGGAGAAACATAGAGAAGAAGTTGAAGGAAAGGAATCAAGTTTCAGAAAAATCTATCATATTACTGAATGCTTTTGACTTTCAGATGCTGTATGTCAGTTTCTCGGAGAGAGCATTGATCTATGTTTGAATATTTATACTCACAGATCAAAAATAGATTTCCATCAGGCTCCATTCATACAGCTAGTCAGATAGCAAACTAGTAACATTATTCTTGTAGACATAGATATCAATCAATATTGAGAAAAATGCAGTTGTTTGTTTTATTGTTTCAGAAGGGCTGAGAAATATTTTTCTTGTATAATGCATTGTATAATCTTTGGACTTAAACCATGTGTCATCTCACACATAGCATTGTTGTGAAAGGGGGAGACTGATTATTGATACCTTTATCATCTAGATTAGCCTTCTTGCTTTCTTAATGACCGTCAGGTTGGGAGAAGTTATGCTAGACCAGGGTTGTCAAACTCACGGCCCATGGGCCGGGTGCATCACACGCTGGCCACACCCATGCCCGGTTTAGCAAAGGGAGAAAAAGTCCCGATATGTCACATGATGTTGCTGTGATGATGTAAGTTTGATACTCCTGTGCTAGTCTGAGGTAATTGAATCAAGTTATTACTATCCCAAAGCTGTATTGCTAATGTGGGTAGATGGAAGCAGGGTTTCCTAGTCTTATAGTAAACTTCTAAAATAATACATGGACTTCCATTTATACAGATATACTTATGAGCGCATTGATGGCCGGGTTCGTGGGAATTTACGTCAGGCTGCAATCGATCGCTTCTGCAAGCCAGATTCAGACCGTTTTGTTTTCTTGCTCTGCACAAGGGCAGGAGGGCTAGGCATCAATCTTACTGCTGCTGATACCTGTATCATCTTTGACTCAGATTGGAATCCACAGAATGATCTGCAGGTATTTGAGAGATGAGATGGCCCAAGGGGTGATTGAGGAGAAATTTAGTGCTATCTCTGGGAATATAAATTATGTAGAAGACCTATGAAAATATGAATTCAGCTGCTCTGAAGACAAAAGTGCTTGAAAAGACATGGACCACAATAAATACCTCTTCCAGTTTGATATGTATATGCATTTGATTTGTTTTATGTTGTTACTCAGATTGATATGTCACTTCTGTCAGGAGATTCCGAACAGCTTATAATATCCTTAATAAGATTAAAAGGCTTAGAAACACAAAACAGCAAAGAACAACAAAGGCCCAAGGCATATTGTTTCAACTAGAATAAAAGGTATATACACCATCTGGAGGGAAGAAGCATCTGTTAAATTTAAATGTTTGATTAATCCAAAAGTAGAATTATGCCTGCATAAACATATACATTAAGTGTCCTGATTCTTTCAAACTGTCAGGAACTTGCACGATGTCCAGAAAACCAAACCTAAAGTGCCCTATTGCATTGCAGATGATAGCTAAGGAGAGAAACCACCAAGAAAGAAGTTAAAAGTGCCCTGTCCTGTTAATTACACATGCATACTCTTGCTGCTATGGGATTACTAAGTTTCTGGAGTGGCAAGCTTTTTGCATCCACAGTAAAGGACACAGACCCTCCTTCTTGGACACTTCCCAGCTCTATGAAAGAAACATTATCTTGTATGGAGGGAGGGGTGAGAAGACATGTCCAGCTCAATGTTGTCTTTCAAATTGAGATTTTACTGTATTGATAAGTTACTTGAACATTCAGATGGGTCAAAAATGTGATTATTTAATGAAGTGCAATGGGTTAATTTAACTACAGTTGTTTTTGTTTCATAGTTCATATTAGGGGCCTTAGCCTGATAGCTAATCTTCATTGTCTAAGTTCAATGTTGGAAATCCCTATTGGGAAGTAGTTTAAATATTTTAAGTGAGAAGTAAACATTGTCAGCCATATCTACCCTTCAGAAGCCTGGACTAACTCAAGAAGTTACCAATTTATAATTTTAAATATGCCAGATGAGGAAATTATTTTCCCACTATACTTAATTTTAAATTTGAATTAGATTGATCTTTAGTTTTGTCCTGACCCCACCTATTGTTTGGAATATGGCTCCCAATGTGCTACTGAAAAGTGGAATTATATTGGGAAAGGCATGAGTGGGAGATGATGATTTAGGTGATGGCATGTGTGGGATATATTCTTCTTGAGGAAACTTAATCTTTCCCTCAACCCAGTTCTGCCAACTCTACTTTGAGTGATATCTTTCTCCTCCTGTAGGCTCAGGCTCGCTGCCACCGAATAGGGCAAAGCAAGGCAGTTAAAGTCTATCGCCTCATCACCAGAAATTCCTATGAACGAGAGATGTTTGACAAAGCCAGCTTGAAACTAGGATTAGACAAGGCAGTGTTGCAGGATATCAACCGCAAGGGAAGCAACAATGGGGTAAGGGTATCCTATACAGGCAAGACCTAGAGGTCTTCTAATCTTTATTCCCCTTCCTCCTTAGATTTTCATGTCAACTTATATCTGGAAGTTGTCATGAGTTCCTGTCTTTTTTCCCATTCTGGAATCAATCAGTCTGTCTGTTTCTGGAAGGTGCAGCAGCTCTCCAAGATGGAGGTTGAAGACCTATTGCGAAAAGGTGCTTATGGGGCTTTAATGGATGAAGAAGATGAAGGCTCCAAATTCTGTGAAGAAGACATAGATCAAATCCTGCAACGTAGGACCCAAACCATCACTATTCAAACTGAAGGGAAAGGCTCCACATTTTCCAAGGTTGGTTGTGTGCTATGGGGACAAAACCATCTAAGTTTATTGTGGGAAATTGTTTTAGTTTTAGTTTTTATTAGCTACATGCAAAAAAGAACATGAAAGGAGTCTACAGCTTCTTGTTGTTTTGTACAAGTCCTGTTGGTATTAGATAGCCATTTCTCCCCAAATCAGAGATATAATTCTCATGTTGAATTCCACCTTCGATCAGTTGGAACCAGTTGATCATGAGGGATGAATGGAGTTAGTCCTACAACATCTAGAAGGTTACATCTTATTCATTCCTTATGTAAAGATTAAATTTTTCCTGCTTTCATATCCCACTATATTCTTAATTTGATCGTATTATATATCAATGAAAATAGAGTAATTTAGAAAACAGATTTTATTCAGAATTATCAACTACATGATTGATTCATATTCTGTTAAGACTTGGCTTGACTGAGTTGTTATATGATTGTCAAAAAAACTAAACCAAATTATAGTTTGCCATGATCACTAAACTTAACGTGTTCAAAGAATGAATAGTTTAACAGAGATGAAAAACAATAGTTTCAAGCCATCGTCTTCTGCTTTCAGCCATATTATCCATACATAAGCTCCAAAGGTACTATAGGATCAAGGTTTCCATAAAAAATAACAAAGGCGAGCAACATTCCATTCCAGTGTGGTTTCAATTCATGTTTTGGTTGTGTGCAGGACACAGCTTGAGTTGTATAGCCACATAGTTGCTTTAATCATTTCTCCTTGCTCCTCCCCCCCTATGAATGTCTCTGGTTAGGTCTTTGTTTAAGAATTGGCTTGGCATCTAGGGTTTATGGGAATTTTCTATTATTTACAATCTATTAATTTGCATTTTACTCCCAGGCCAGCTTTGTTGCTTCAGGAAACAGAACTGACATTTCATTGGATGATCCCAACTTCTGGCAGAAATGGGCAAAAATAGCTGAACTGGATACTGATGCAAGAGATGAAAAGGTAATTATGATGTATTTATTCTGGAAACTTAAGTTGCATTCCCAAATTTACATATTCTCAGAGCTGACTGCAAAAAGTTCTCCTAATTACACATTGGTTAGGGTTAAAGGTTTTACTGAGGTTTTGGGGCACTAATAATGGATGAATGCAGAGTATGTGTAGGTAACTTCTATAGGAATTCTTGATCTTTCTATCTGTATCCTAAATCTGTTTTGTAAATACTGATGCTGAGTTTTTGTTGACAGGAACAGCGTGTTATGATGCACAAAGTAGGATATTAATAGCTAGACAGTTGGAAAACATTATGCAACATTATTTTTGTTACAAGGAGCCGTGGTATTTAGGAGGCGTGGTGGCATAGTAGTTAGAATTCAGTATTGCAGGATAATTCAGCTCATTGTCAGGAGTTCGATCCTAAC